TTTTTACAAACTCTCTATAACTTTTAATAAGTTTTTTTGAACTTGGTCATTTTTATGGTGCTCCGGGAAGGATTTGAACCTCCGACGACTTGTTTAGGAAACGAGTATTCTATCCACTGAATTACCAGAGCAGATTAGCGAGTTTTTTCATATATCAAAACAATAATTCCAACAATAGGCATAGTTAAAAAAATAGAGAAAAAGATAATAAGACATGTTCTATCAAATCTATCTTTCTTAATGGCACAATTTTTGCAGTAAATTTCAGTGCCATATCCGCTATGTCAACTTGCCCTGAAATAGTTTTTTCCACTCTTGGTTACTTCTTCTCCCTCAGGAATTTTCTTATAGCAATTAGAACATAGCATAATTTTATAATTTAACGTTAATTTTTATAAATTATTGGAAGGATTGTAACAGTAATGATAAACAAAAAAACGCAAATAAAAAGCGTAGTAAATAATACTCAGAGTCTTTTTTCGCGTCTTGCTTCTTTCTTAGCACATTTAAGACAAAACACGTATGAGAAAAGCAATAATATTAGTCTTTATTTAGATGGAAGTGTAAGATTTGAGAATTATGATAGTTATTATAAAACGATATGGTGCGTTAATTGTTACCCTTTCTGTGATTATCAGATAAGCGATTATGTAGAAATTGACAATGATGAAACAAAATATTACAGTTCCGGGCATGACTTTAATGATATTAGTATAATAAGAAAAGTTACAACTACAAACATAATTACTACTCGCGGCTCCTCTTCTGATATAGTTATTTCATCTGGTCTTGTGAATGCTATGGGAAGTTCACGAACGATGGAATTGGCTCGGCACATGTCTCGAATGGTGGACGAAAACGATAAAGAATACGAACTTAAAATAGAGGATAATACCAACACAAGGTTTACCTATTCTCTAATATGTAGAAAACAAAAATAGTTATGAATGTAGAATTTGGATTTAATACAGAATATTTAGAAGAATGTGCCAAAAGAAGAAAAAAACCAGAAGAAAGAAAATATCCTAAAAAAGATTGACCTGTCGGCTATGAGCCTACCGAAAAAGAATATGAAGAGTGAATGGAGGAAGGAACTGGAATTCCTGTTTCTTTCCATTGAGAAGATATTGGGGGAGGCAGAAAAAGAGGCGTTTTCACCCCAATAAAAAAAAACATTGAGATTCTAAATGATTTTGAAAAAGTTCTCGGCAACGTTCAGCCAGTTAATTTCCAAATTGAAAATCCAAATGGTGAATTGAAAAAAGTAAGTAAAGAGGAGTTTGCTAACTGAATGACAGCAGGAAAGGAGGAAAAAAACATCAAAACTCCACCCAAAGAAAGTTTAGTTTATGGTATTAAATGAGATATTGATGGTTCAACTTATTTTACTGAAAGAAAAGGCAAAGACAGAGTTATTAAAGAAAGTTATTATCAGCCAAGAAGCGAAGAAGAAAAAAAACAGATTATCGAAAGAAATCGAAAAAGAAGAGAGCAAGAAAGTTCCCAAGCCACAAAAGAAAAAATTAAAGAAACAGAAGGCATAGATTTAAACCAAATAGCAAAAGAGATAGATAAACAGCAGGAACAGAATAAAAAAGAGCAAAAATCAGAACAAGAAACTAACCAACAAATTTCCTTACAAAGCAAAGACAATGATCAAAATATTTATTATGGAGTAGGATTAATCTCCTTAGTTCTTTTAGTAATAAGTATGGCAGTAGTTAGGATGAAAAGAAAGAGATAGTTGACTAAAAATAATTAGGTAGGGAGTATATATTAATGCTCCTCCTAATATCTATTCTTTATTCGAGCAATGAGATTAGATATTAAAACATTCTTAAAATTAAATATATGGATATAAATGTTTATTGACTTTTTCTTATTGTTCCTGTTAGTATAATTATTGGTTTTGGCCTTTGTTCTTGATACTTCCTTCATACTCTCAAAAAAGCTACGGGTGTTAAAAGTTGAAAGGAATTTATTAATCAGGCTAAAAAAGCCCAAGAACTCCAAAAGAAGATGGAAAAGGAGGGTATTTTTGGGGTAATGAATGACCCCAAACTAAGAAAACAAATGGAGGAGTTGCAAAAAAGGTTTGGCGGAAAAAAATAAATACTTTTTTGGCAAATTGGGATTTGTAATAAATTAAAATCATTGGGTGTTTTTAATAACAAAAAATCATAATTCTTTTTTAAAATATCCCCTAAATTAACTACCGCATATACCCCCCTCTTTTGTTTTATTTTTCCGGCTAAACCCTGAAATTTAGCTGCTTTTGGATAAGGGTAAATTGCCATAAAAAATATATATGTCTACTATTAACCCTACCCCAAAAAAAGATACCCGAACCATTTTTGGTTCTTCCCAAACTGATCCGAATAAGATTTTGCCGATGAAATACTTGTGGGCTCGTAAATATTATAAAGATGGTATTGCTAATAATTGGGTTCCGGAAGAGATTGCTATGCAGTCCGATGTCGGGCAGTGGAAATCTGCGACCTTCCTTAGTCCCGCCGAGCGGAAATTAATCCTCTGAAATTTAGGTTTTTTTTCCACTGCTGAGTCATTAACGGCTAATAATCTGGTTTTGGCAGTCTATCGTCATGTTACTAATCCTGAATGTCGACAATATTTATTACGACAAGCTTTTGAAGAAGCGGTTCATACCGATACTTTTATTTATTGTTGTGATAGTTTAGGTTTAAACCCAGATGAAATATATAATATGTATCTAACTATTCCTTCAATTGAAGAAAAAGATAATTTCGTTATTGAATTAACTAAATCGATATTTGATCCCAAGTTTGAAATTAAAAATGATAAAGATATTCAAATTTTCCTCCACGATTTAATTGGATATTATGTGATAATGGAAGGGATATTTTTCTATGCTGGCTTTGCCATGATGTTAGCCTTAAAGCGCAGTAATAAAATGGTTGGTATTGGTCAACAATTTGAGTTCATTATGCGTGATGAAAGTTTGCATTTAGGCTTTGGCTGTGATTTAATTAATACCATTAAGAGTGAAAATCCACAAGTTTGAACTCCTGAGTTCCAAAAAGAAATTATAGAATTGATTAAGAAAGCGGTAGAATTAGAAAAAAAATATGCCTTGGATGCTTGCCCAGAAGGAGTAACCGGAATTAATGCTGAACAATTCAGCAAATATGTCGAATATGTGGCCGATCGCCGCTTGAAAAGAATTGGCTTGCCTAAAATGTATTTCACTACTAACCCTTTTCCTTGAATGTCACAGAGTGTTGATTTAAATAAAGAAAAGAACTTTTTTGAAACCCGTCTGACTGAATATCAAACTGGTTCTCTGGAATGGGATGACGAAGAGTAGCTAACCCACATTTTTTTCATTGTTTGTCAAGCAAAATAATTAACGCCAATGGCGACACTGCAAATCTTGCAATCTAGCATTAATAAAACTTAAAATATGGTAAACGCCCAAGTGTGATTGGATAAAAAATCCAAAAGAGGAAAGAAATAAAGAATGCTTACTCGCTATCGACGGCAGGGATTTGGAAGGAGAACTAAAACTAGAAGAATTTAGTAATTTAGAGATGGTGGAGTGTTTTAAGAATAAGTTAACTAACTTAGTAATTATCAACTGTCCAAAAATAAGGCATCTCAATATTTCTTGCAGTCTATTTGAAAATTTCGATTTTCTTAACAATCTAGACCCTGAGAAACTGGTTTTTCTTAGTGTTCATAAGGGATTATAAGGATTTACTATATTATTAATTTTAAAAAAGAAGTGAGTGGATGAAGGTTTTATTTAGGAAGTTGTTCAATTTGAGTTTGTTGTTCTTCTATTCTTTGAATTTCAAACTGTTGTTCAACTATCTTTCGTCCTAGCTCTGCTACCTGCTGACTTTGTAAAAGTTGCTCGCTAATAACAAGGCGAGATCGGTCTTTTTCTAAGTGTGCTCCAATAATTCCTCAGGGAGTTGGAATACCGAATTGGATTTTATCTTTTTCAACTTGATAAACTAAGGCTTCTTTAATTTCTGACTCACTTTCCTTAAAGGTAGTAAAGGTAGTTTGCTTCTCTTGCACTATAATCTGTTGTACCTGAACTTCTAGTAAAGAAATTTCTTTTTGTCTTTCGCAAAGATCATTAAATAATTCAATGAGTTCAACAGATTTTTTCTTTAATAAGTATTCTTTTTCCTTCTTTTCTGCAATTACAGCAAGATGATTATTATAACAAAGTGATTGGGCTTTAACTATATCTCCATAAGCGACTAAATAAATGTCTAAACTGATTTTTATCTTTTTTTCTCTTTTTTTTTCTATTATCGAAATTATCCAAAAAGTTTTTATCTGCACTCTTTTCTACAAACTCATTTTTCAATTTTTCTAATTGATTCTTTTTTTCCTTGACTAACTCTTCTTCTAATACTTGGTTTTCCTCTTTTAATTTGTGTAATTCAGTTTCTTTTTCTTTCTTTCACTTTTTCAATTTTTCTATATTTAATTTCATGCCATCTGTTAATTCCTCTGTTTTCGGAACTGTTATCTCCTGGGTTTTGATTTCTGCTTTTTTTATCTCATTGTCTAACTCACCTACTTCTTTTTCTAATATTTGCTCTTGTATTTCCTTGGAGAATGAACTTAAAACTTTTTTTAGATTATTATACTTTTGTTGGGAAAGTTCTAACTCTTCAATTAAATCTTTACTCTTCTCTTTTTTTAAATCCTGAATCATCCTTAGTAATCATTGAGGTTTTTGTTTGGCCAGTTCGACTATTCGGTAAGCTTTTCAATCACCACTATAGGGTTTTAAAAGTTCAGTTAGTTTAGTGTTACCATTCATTTCTAGTTCTTCTAAATTTTCTAGATTTGCTAAAAATTCTAAACTAGTAAGAGAATTTGTCCGAATATTTAATTTTTTTATTTGAGGACAGTTTTCAATAACTAAATCTCTCAGACCACAGTCTCAAATGATACACTCTTGAAGTTGAGTTAAATTTTTAAGAGTTGCTTTATCTATGCTGTCAATTTCTTGTAGACATAAGTTTTTTAAATTATGATAACTTTCAATAGTTAGTTGTCCTTGAAAATCCTCACTTTCAATTTTTATTTCTTTTACTTCTTTTGGATATTCTTTGTTAAATTCATTTTGATTGTTAACCATAATGTTTTTGATAATTTTTATTTGTTAGTAGTAATTTCAACTTGCATTCGTAACTCTTCTTTTTCCAGTTGCTGTTCTAATTCAACTAAATTTTCGCAGCAACGAATAACTTCTTCATCTATTTTCTTTTCAAGTCCTTTCTCTCCTAACTGTTTTTTTAGTTCTCTAGCCTGTTTTTTAACTTGTTTATCTTCTTTGTTTTTTAATGATTCCTTTTTAATTTCAATAAATTTTTCTACTAATTTTTTTAATTCATTTTCTAAAGGTTTTTTAAGAAACTCAAATCTTTCTTCAATTTGTTTTATTTCCTGATTAATGTAAAATTGCTTGTTAATGTTAATTTCTTTAGAATTTTGTGGCTTAGGGAGGCTCTTAAAGTCTAAAAGGCGGCTGATACAATTGGCTGAAGGGTAATTTTTATATTTTCGCCCAATATTTTCTGATGTCTCTTTATATAACTCTTCCAACTCCTTAAATTGTTGGTAAAGTTTTGTTTCATTCTTCCCTCCATTAAAAATTCAGTTATGTAAAATCTTCTCTAGTTCACTAGTGGCAGGACGAGCAGCAGGATCGGCATCCCAACAGCGGCTGACTAAATCTTTGACTAATTGTGGTGCAATAACGTCGCTTAAATTAGGTCGTAAACCTTGACAAATTTTTAAAACTAAGTTAGTAGATTGATCGTAGGTTAAATCAGCATAGGGAGGTAGACCCGAAAGAATCTCATACATGATTATGCCAAAAGAGTAAATATCAGATGATTGGGTGTGTGATTCTTTCCTTAATACTTCAGGAGCCACATAAGGCAAAACGCCAAAAATTTTTTCCTTATCATTTTCGTTAATTGGTCTACACAGACCTAAATCAGTAATAAAACTACCAAGAATCTTAGCAGTATCTTGTTTATCTTCTATATAAGTATAACCATTTAATATATTACCAGGATGTAAATCACGATGAATTAATCCTTGCTTGTGAATTTCTTCCAAGCCTTTTGCAATATTATGTAGGCACTTAAACTTACCTTCAAAATCTAAACTATCATAGCGTTTATTTAAAAATTCTCTCAAATTACCACCTAGCATATATTGCATTACCATGATGTAATTCTTGGTTCTAGGGTCTTGAGAAATACCATAGCATTGAACTATTTTATGTTTCTTTATGATGGAATTATGATTATCAACAAATAATTTATGATAAGAAATTTCGCGTAAAAGTCCGGCAGTAATTTTGTGTGAATTATTTAGGTTTTTTAAGACAACATTTCCGTCAAACTTACAATTGTAATTTTCTTCTCCTTTTATTCTTTCTCATTTGCTATCTTCTAAGTTCCAATAATCAATAGGTCCATCAATTCATTTAGCTTTAAACACGATACCAAAACCTCCTTCTGCAAGATGTTCAATATTGGCAAATCTTTCATAAGGAATTCATTCTAGCACTTGCTGATTGTTAACCGCTTCCAATTGAGTCTCTTGGATAAATTTATCAATTTCACAATTGCCACTAGTTCATTTTTTAAAGTTTTCTTGAAAATGCTGAGAGTTACAAGTTTGGCACCAACCGCAATGTCCACCTCACCCGGTTTTCGGCCGATGGCACTGTAGACATAATCCATAAATTTTATATCTTTTTCTTAATTTTTTGTTAGGTATTAATTTCTTAACTAGTAATTTTCTTTCAGCATCTAATTTGGGGCCCAAATTATACCAATTAGACGGAAAATCTTTTATTTGCTCAACTACTTCTTTACTGAGTTTAGTTTCTTCTTCTAAGGGGGGTGAAGAGAGAACTGGGGCAGGATTACTTTCTTTAACTTTTATCTTAAACGCAACTCCTACCTCTCTGTCTTCGAAAGAAAGAATACCCAAGTTTTCATAATTCGATTGGAAATTTTGAAATTCTTCTTTAACTTTTTTCTTATCTTCATGATTTAGTAACCAAGCAGGATTTTTAAGCTTCAGTCCTTTTAATCATCTAGCATAATTCGCATCACTAACTGATAGACCAGCCTCTATTCATTCCCTTGTTTGTTGATATTCAAAACCATTTTCTTCTCATGTCTTCTGTAATTCTGAGGTAAAATCAAAATGAATATCTTTCCAGTCTAAACTATTGTACTCTTCTTTTAGGTTTATTAAAAAGTTATTTTTTACTTCCTGGAACATTTTCAGTGATGATGGATTAAGATTTTTATTCTTTTTTAAATAGTCAGCAAAATTATATTCATTTATTATCAATCCTGATTCTAATCAAAGTTTAGTTTCTTTTGGGGAAAAGCCTAAATCTTTTCATTCACCTCATTTGTGACTTTGTTTATGAAGGAGTAAGTCTAATTTTTTGATAATTTGTTTAACTTTACTGTTAGGTCTGGCTTCCGTTGAATAGTATAATCTTGTTATATCGTCAGGTAAGTGTTCTGCTCCTTCACTAATATCAGTATTGCTAATCCCCAACTCTTCAATTTGAGCCATATTTTTGAGAAATTGCAAAGAGCCAACTCAACGATTGTAAATACCCTGACTAATTTTTTTCGCATCATCGTTGCCTAAATATAATTCTTTTAATTGGGTAAACTTAGCAAAACAACTTAAATCCTGTTCCGGAAAGTTATTGTCCTGCAAACCAATTCCAGTCAGTTTTTGTTCGTTTAGGACCGATCAATCTAAATCGGTAAGATAATTGTCATAGCAAGCCAATCTCTGTAAGTTGGAGAGCTTTTTTGGCAAAGTCAATTTAGTAAGTCGATTTTTATGACAATAAAAAAACTTTAATTTAGAACACAGACTTGCATCTAAGTAAGTAAGGTAGTTATCTGAACAGTTTAACTCTTCTAAGTTATCAAAACCTTCTAGCGTTAAAGAACCTACTAAACCAAATTGACTGATGTCAAGTTGAATAACTTTTTCTCTACTTTTTTTTGGATAGTTAATATCTAATCATTCTTGAGCACTTATTTCTTCATTGCTCGAATTTTTTTTAACTTCCTTGTTCTTTTTTTCTGAATGTTTATGAAATTCTTCTTTTAATTCTTCTTCATCGCCGTGTTCAAAAAACCACTCGGCATCTTTATTTTTAACTTGCAAGCCATTTTCTAATCATTCTCTGGTCTCTTTTTTATTAAAACCACTATCTAATCAAGCTTTTGTTATTTCTTCCGTAAAATTTTTAAAGGGATAAATATCCTCCTTTCAGTTTATCATATATTTTTTGATTTTTATTTTGTGTTATTATTGTTTAAAAATTGTGTTTTACAATCACTGACTAAGGCTTTTAAGCACTTATATCTAACTAGGAGTGATTGATTTTGAAAATTATGCTAGTTAGATATTTGGTTGTGGTCTCCATAGGCTATTTGTTAAAAAGTTTAATTTATCATATTTATCAATTAGTTTTTCAACTTTTTTCTCTGGTGATTTCTCACCAGAAGCAAGATTAAAAGTAAAGTACCCCTCCGTCAATATAAAGAGTAGTTTTATCACTTGGTTTAGCATTGCTAGTAGAACTATTTTCTTTTTTTAATAATTCGGATAATTGTTTCTTTTTAGCGGCTAATTCTGCTTGCTGCTGAGGGGTTTTAGTCGGATTTTGTTCTAAGGAGATGATTTGAGAATCTTAAAAACCCGTAATTGTTTTTTATCTCCAAACTGAGTAGCAAGTAAATTATTTTGACCCAAATTTAAAAAGATTTCTAATTTTATTACTATTATCTTTAGCTGGAGTTTCTATTTGAGCAGTTTGTTGTTGCTGCGAAGTTAGTTGGGCTAATTGTTGTTTTAATTCTTCAATTTGCTTTTCATAAAGTTCTATTCCATTTAGTTTTTTTAATTGTTTATTTTCTTCTTTGTATGCTTCGTTTTCCTTTTCTAACTTGGCTATTTTATCCAATAATTCCTGTTTTTGTCTTTTGTGTCAGTCTTCAGAAGTTTCTAACGCTTCCAGGTGAACGTCAACTTCCTCAGCTAATTGATTTTTTTCTTCCTGCAAAGCGTTTATTTGCCGTTCGTAAAAAGTAGATTGGCTTTCATAAGGCACAGATGGAAGTTCTTTTTCTTCTAAATTCTCATCAAAACTAACACAATAACAGGTATATTTGCCACTAAAAAAGTCCTTATATCCTTTAGTTTGCAATCTTCCACATCTTTCGCATTTTGGTATCTCATCATTAAAAAACTTTTCTTCACATTCTTCACAGACTACATCGTCTGAAATCCATCTGCTGGTTGATTTAACACGAGTTACTATTTGCTTAACAGACTTATTATCTTCATTTTCTAACTTGGAGCAAAAGTCGCAGGTCTTTTTGCTTTCTTTACTTAATTCTAAAAGGGTATAAATTAACTCTCTCATTGATTTCGATTGTCGAACTTACTTAGTTCTTAACTTCCACTTGAGCAAACATTTCTTGATTCTGAGTGTTTTCTTTTTTTATTAACTTCTGAAGGTTAGTTTTTATTTTTACTCTTAATTTGCTCAAGTTTGCTTTTTCCTTAGGTAAAGAAGGCAAATTTTTAAAAGTTAAATACTTTGCCCACAACTTTTCACTTTTGTTCTTTTCTTCCAAAAAATTTTTTTCCATCTCTTCGCTCTTTTTTTCTCTATTCAAAAGTTCGTTTTGAACTTTTTCTAGCCTTTCATCTCTTTCCTTCAATTGCTTTTCTAGTTCCTCAATTCTCGCTTCTTTACTCACGAGTTCATTGCCTAATTTTTCCACTTTTTCTGATTTCTCCTCGACTTCTTTTGTTTTATCCGATACTTGTTTTTCTAAGTCTTTTGTTTTGGCGTTATGTATTTTCTCATTATTTTCAATGGTTTGTTTTAACTTCTTTTCATTTCACTCTTTGCTGGTTTCGGTCAGAGCCTCGAAATGGATGGCAGCATCCTCTTCTCCCCTCATTGTCCTCTTTTTTCAATATTCAATAGTTTCTTCATCGTTTTCTATTCTTTCTTCTAAGTTTTTGATGATTTCAATAATATAATTGTCATTACAATTTCCTTTCTTGACCTCTTTTACTAATTCACTTACCAAAAATTTGTTGGTTTCAGTTCAAGCGGAGTCATCATTAAGAAGTTTTTGCATGTATTCTAATGCTGTTAATTGGCGATGTTCCAGCAATACTTTGGTAATAAATTCTTCTAAGTTTTTCAACTCGTTTTTTAACATTTCGTTTTCTTGTATTAATTGTTGTTGCTCTTCGGGATTCTTTAGCGTGTTGTTTTTCATATTATTTTTATTTTATTATATATAGAATAAGTGTATAACCCTATAGTTGTAATTTTATAGCATTTTTCGATCCAGCTCCCTCTTCTTATCAATTTTGGTAAAAATAATACCTTAGGTAGTTTTTTTGAGAAAATCTTTGTTTTTTGGGTCTCCTTTAACTTTTCCTTTATTTTTTGTGCTAATTTTCTTTTTTTGTTTATAAAACTACTCAGGTCTTACAAATTAAACAAAAAATAAGGTATTTAGCTATATGGTGCTCTAAATTTTTAATCCTCACATAATAGGTAATTAGGTCGGGATTAAATCAATATTTTGCTTATTCAGTAATTTATTTCTCCTTTTTTGGGTTCAAAAGGTGATGATTAATTACCAAAAGAGTAAAATTAAATTATAAAGACATTGGAAAAATGAGAAAAACAATTGCTAAATTTATTGAAAAGCCAATTTGGAGAGAGTTTCAGTCCATCCACGGTCCTTATGGATATTATAGGGCTAAGTTAGAAAATAAAGAGGGGAAATTTGAATGTTCCTTTGGCAAAAAGTTATTGGAGAATTATTCTGGAGAAAAAAAAATTTGTTTTTTAACATGTCGTGAGGGTTCATTTGGTCGATTTAGATGTCAAAAAATAGAGTTTTTAAATAATGATGAAGAGATTACTTCTTGGGAAGAAGTTTCTGACAAGGAAAAGATAAGTAAAAAAATAGAGGGGGGGCGAGAGAGAAAAAAATTCATAGAAGAAAACACCGAAACATCAGCTATTCTTCAAAAAGAGAGGGAGGATGATTTTCCTGGGTTGAATGACGAACAAAAAAAAATTTGTCATCTAGTCTTGGCTGGACAAAACGTTTGTTTTTTGGGGGAGGCGGGTACCGGCAAGAGTTTTTTGTTAAACCATTTGATCGGATTATTAAAAAAAGAGTGTAGCGAGGAACTGTTTATTACTTCTTACACGGGTCGAACCGCTATTAACATTCATGGGCAAACTTTACACTCTTTTGCTGGAATTGGTGTAGTGGGAGAAGTTGATTGACGCAACATGTTGGCTAAAATAAACAAAAAAAAAGAAAAAGTCAAGCGATGAAAAAAATGCAAAGTACTAATTATTGATGAAATATCCATGCTTGATGGTAATTTGTTCGATAAGTTAGAAATAATCGCTCGCCAAATTAAGGGGATTGACAAACCATTTGGCGGAATCCAGTTAATTGTCTGTGGTGATTTTTTTCAACTATCGCCCATTGAGAAATATTATAAATGGTGTTTTGAGGCCGATAGTTGAAATCTTTGTTTTTCTAATATAGTTCATTTAAATCAAATCTATCGACAGCAAGATAATAAAATTATTAATTTACTGCGAGAGGTGCGGGATGGTTATTTGTCCCCTGATAGTTTTCGGCTATTAGATAGTTTACAAAGAGAACCAGAATGACCAGACGATAATATTAGACCTACCCAACTCTATTCTACTAATGAAGAAGTTAATCAAATTAACCAGCAAGAACTAGCCAAGCTTTCTACTTCTTCTATTACTTATTATGCTCGCGATAAGGAAAAACGAGCACACACTTTAAGTATTTTAACCAAAGATTGTTTAGCGCCAGAAAAGTTAGAATTAAAAATTGGTGCCCAGGTCATGTTAACTATCAATCAATTCGAAAGAAAATTAGTCAATGGCAGTCAAGGGGTAATTATCAATTTTAAGGAGGAAGAAGGCAAAAAATACCCCTTGGTAAAGTTTGTTAATGGAAGGATAGCGTTAATCAAACCTTTTGAATATAAATTGCTAGAATACAAAAACAACCAAGAAATTGTTTTAGCTAGCCGTTGCCAGATACCTTTAGTTCTTTGTTGGGCTATTACCATTCACAAGAGCCAAGGGCAAACTATTGAGAGATTGAAAATTGATTGTGAAAGAATTTGAGCTAAAGGACAATTATATGTGGCACTATCGCGGGCAACTAATCCCCAGTATTTACAAGTAATTAATTTTCAAAAAGAAAAAATAAAAACTTGCTCGCGGGTCAAGGAATATTATCACAAATTAATGGCATAATAAATGATGGTGAAAAATCTACAACAACTACCTTCCCAGCAACTTTTGCAAGAGATACAAGAGTTTATTGTCACCCGACCTAACCATAAAAGTGAGACTAAAAGATGATTTCATTATTGTTTATTTCTCCTCTGTTGAAAAGCAGGGTTAAGAATCACTGAAGCAATTGGTTTTAATCCAGAACTAAAACATCCGGAACCGGAATACCAAGACTTATATCTATTGCGGGGCAAAAGAAAAAAAGACCGTTATGTTTATATCGCTCCGGAAATAATAGGAATATTAAAACAGTATCATTGAGAGCCGGATAAAACTAGTCGCCGAGATTTTTGGGAGTTTTTGCGACGAGTTCGTTATGATTTAAATATTAGTCATCATATCGAATTAGCGCCTCACACCTTGCGAAGATGTTTTGCTACTTATAATCTTTTGGCCGGAATGCCTCTCAACATTTTGCAGAAATTTCTTGGACATAGCCGTGTTTCCACCACTGCCTTATATATTAAGGATAGTGATTTGGCTAATTTATTGAAATTTAAACCCATTTAATTCTTGCTTAATCTTTCTTTCTCTTTTTTTCTCATTATTAATAATCAACTAATTGTTAACAAACTGACAATTAGTCAACTAATTCAGATTACTCTTTCATTCTTTTGCTGTTTGATTAGTGTGGCCTTTTCCACTTTTAAACTCTGCAAATCATTAATTTTGGGCATGAAATGTTGATTAATTTGCTCATTGCGAATAGTAGCAAATTGTTGATAAGTAGTGACGACTTTCATTTTCTCAATAGTTTCGGCAGATAGTTGGATATTAAAAATCTTCTCTAAATTTTGGAAATCAAATGACATAATCTTTTCTAACTCAGTTATGGTTAAGGAATTACCCGGTTTGCGGAGTAACTCTTGTAGTCTAGTAATCACTTCTTCTAAATTATTAGGTTCAGTTAATTGGAGGTTTAATTCAGCATTTAATTTGTGCACTATTTGGGCTTCTAATTGGGAATTTTTAGTTTTTGCTTCTTCTAACTCTTGCTTAATGGCATCATAATCACCATTCTGACAACAAATTTGCGGACAAGCAAGCATTGAACAATTATGATTATTGAGTTGAGACTTGTAATTATTTCGTTCATTCTTAATTTGTTCATAGTCAGCATGAGGGCAAGAAAAGGTTGGACAAACATGACTATCTAACTGGTCTTTATAATTATCCCGTTCGCGTTTTAAAATAGCATTGGTGTTAACTTCCTTGGCTAATTTTCAAACTAAATTATTATAGTCTTGTTGAGTTTTTTGATGAGCAGATTTTTCCTTTTTAAGTTTACTTTTCTTGTCAAACAATAATCAAGTCATTAAGATGTTTAATCCATTGCTTGCTATTTCCTTATAATTTTTTGAACTAGAATTATTTTCTTCGGCTAGTTTTCGGCGAATAGTGTTTATTTCATTTTTAATTTGATTATTTATTTCATTATCGCTTTCTATAACTTGAAGACATTTTTCCAGTTCGGTATTATTTTTCTCTTTAATTTTGTCTAATTCTCGGCCTTTATTATTTAATTGCTCTTGTAAAGAAGTTATTTTGTTTTCGGTGGCAGTTTGTTTCTCCTTTAACTGATCCCGTTCCGTGCTTAAAGTTGTGATTTGTTGGTGGAGTTCAGTAATCGTTTCCGCACTTTGTTTGGCCTGTTGCTGATACAGGTCATGGTCAGTTTTTAATCGGTTAGCAAGGTCATCATAAACATCTTGGGTAGGTCGAGTGTTTAACTCTTCAGTTTGTTCGTCTTTTTTGGTTAGTTGAGAATTGAGAATAGTAATTTTGTCGTCCAGTTCGCTTATTTTGCCTTTGGCTGCTTCTAATTCAGTGTTTATTTTCGCTTGAGTTTGGTTAGCGCCAGTTAGTTGTTTTTCTAACTTGGTCTTTGCCGCTTTTGCTTCCGTTAACTCGTTTTGTAAATTGCTTCTTTGCTTTATTAATTGGTCATAATCTTTTTGTCGACTTGCTAAATGGTTGGCTTGGTCTTTTAAGTTGGTTATTTCTCCATTTTTAGCAGTTAATTCCTTTTTAAGATTACCCGCTTTCTCATTTGCTTCTTCTAACTCTGTTTGTAATTTATTTATACTTTCTTGTTGGCTATTCCTTGCTATTATCAATCGGTTAATTTTTGCTTGTAAAGACAAGTTTCCTTTTTTTAATCCTGCCTCATTCTCCTCTTTTTTGGTTAATAATTTGTTTCTTTCTTGTAATTGATTTTTTAACCTGTTCCTTTCGTTTACTAAATTATTATAATCTGTTTGGCTAATATTAGGACGCTTTGCTAACTTCTCATTTTTTTCTTTAATTTCATTTAGTTTTTGTTCTTTATTAGTTAATTGCTGCTGGTAATCTTTATTTATTTTTGCTAATCTGTCATTTGCTTCTTTCGCTAGTTGTAATTGTCCCAGTTTATCCGATAATTCTTCCCCTTTTTCCTTTAATTCAGTCTTCAGACTTGCCGCTTGACTAGTTAGAGTTTCAGCCTTGCCCTCCAGTTCGCCAATTTTAACTTGGTTGGTCTCCAATTCTCCTTTAATAATATTCTCTCCCTCTTTAATTTGCTGATTTTTGGCTTGTAATTCTTTATTTTCGTCCTTTTGTTCTTGTAAAGTTTTTTTAGTTTCTTGTAATTGTCCTTGTAATAAAAGATTTTTGCTTGCTAATTCATTTTTTTCCTTGTTTAATAAGCCTTTTTCTTGTTCTTGGTCGGCTAATTGACCTCTTAATGTTTCTATTTGGGTCGTTAATTCTCCCACCGCTTCCACTTCATCATTTCTTGTCCCCTTTAACTGACTAATTTCTGTTTCTAACTCAGTTACTTTTCGGCTTGTTGAGTTTTTTAAATTTTCTAGTGCTGTCGCTGAACTCCCTAGTTCGGCTTTTAATCCATTATTCTCCTTTGCTAATTCTCCTTGCTGTCTTGCCAATTCTTTCGTCCTGGTTTTTTCAATCCTCAATTGGTTCGTTAAACTTCGGTTTTTTGCTTTGGATTCTGTCTCTCCTTGGGTCAAACTTGCTAATTTGGTTGTTAATCCCTCTATCCGACCATTCAAGGAAGTAATTTCGCTGCTTTTTCCTCGCAATTCATTTTCTAAACTGGCTTGTTTTTGTTGTAATTCACCATTATTTTTCTTCAAACTCTCTAACTCGCTTCCTAGGGTAAGTTTCCCCTCGACTAATCTGTTCGCTTCGGTTTGTTCCTCCGCTAATTGGGTTTTTAATAATCCGTTTTTTTCCTCTTGACCTCTTAATTGTTCGGTTAGTAATTCGTTTTTCGTTCGTTCGGTTGCTAGTTCTTGTTCGGCTGCCTTTTGGGCGACTTCGGCTGCTGCTTTGACAGTTGCTAATTGGGAGTTTATATTTTCTAATTCCTGATTTTTTATGCTTAATTGCCTAAATTCTCGGTCTAGTTCGGCTAATTGGCCTTCTAATTCAAATTTAGTTTTACCATGGACGGTTCTCTCTCTCTCTCTCTCTGTTATCACGATAGACATCTAATTCCCGTTCCGCTAAATTTCGTCCTCCTTCACTACATTTTAAAAGTTCTTGGGTTTCACGCAACGCAGCCTCGAGTGTTACTTTTACTTCTAGTTCACTTGCTAAACCGTTTATTTTGTCATTTAAAATTTTTTCAAGTTTCTTTCAATTATTTTTTTCCGTCCTCAATGCTATCAAATCTTTGTCTTGATCGGTTAATTTATTTGCTATTTCGCTATTAATATTTCTTTGATTTTCTTCTTTTTCCCTTGCCGTTTTTAACTCTCTGGCTAATTCTTCCTTAATTCTATCAACTTCTTCCCGCAAACTAGCGTTTATTAAGTCTGGATTAACCCCCAAAATTATTGAAGCATCTTTATATTTGTCAGCTATTTTTTGCACTTTATCAATATTCTCCCCTTTTACTTTTAATTCCCGAATTTTATTATTAATTATTTCTCCGATTTTTTCTTTGTCTACCGCTGGTTCTTTAATTCCCAAATCATCCTCTATTCCCCCCAAGTTAGTCCGAATATTGGCTAATTTTTTTAGTTCGCCTGCAATTACTGTATCATTATTAAACAGTTCGGGAATATTGTCTTTAATTAATTTCTGATTCTGAGTAGTGTTTTCTAATCTCTCTAATCATTCTCAGTGTGGCTTAGTATCAAGTGTTAATGGCGAAATTTCTTTTTTGTTCTTGGGCTGACTTTCGAGAGCGTCAAAAAATTGTTCTGCTTCGCTATCAGTCTCGTTATTTGTAGTTGCTTTATCAGTTAACTTTTCTCTTTCAATTCGGGTGGAGTTTTTTAGTACGCAAACTTCAGTGTCTCATTTTATTGCTTGCTCATTTGGAGCGATAATTTGCTGCAAGAATGGCGAAAGATTGCCATTTATTTTTGTTTCATAATTCGGCTGCTTGAATCAATTGTTCAACGAATTAATACTTGATTTTATTCCAGGTTGTAATGTTAAAGAAGTATTATAATAAGTGCCACCAGGTCCATAAGTATTGCGGATTTGAGAAAAAGTTCCTACAGCTCGTTCGCTAACTGAGTAAATACTGTCGCGATAATAATAAATTGCTGCAATGGATTCAAATATAAAAGCAGCTTGCTTAAAACACTGAAATTTATAATTACTTTCTTTTCTAATAAGGCCTTGTTTTTTTCTTTCACTATTAATTTTGTCTGCTAGAGCCTTTCTTTCAGACACTGACTCTTTTTCCTTATTTTCTGCTGATTTCAATTCCTTTTCTAGTCTCCATATCTTAGAATCTTTTCAATTGTGGCTATTGTTTTCTCTTTTTAACTCTTCATTTTTTTTCTTTAAAATTTCATTTTGCTTTTGTAATTCATCATAATTATCTTGAGTGAGCGTGAGACGAGTTGCCAAACTTTCGTTCTCGCGTTTCAAATTATTATAAGTTGAGCAAGTAATATTTGGACGTCTATCCCTTTCAATTTGGGTTTGAGCTTGCAATCTTTCGGAATTCGCTTTAGCCGTGATTAAACTTTCTTTCTCCTCGATTAAAGTGTCGATGCCGTTCCGCAGTACAGTGAAGGCAACGGAACCGATTTTAGCACGTTCTTTTAAACTGTCTTGCAAAGCCTTAATTTGGTCTTCGGCAGTTGCAAGTTGATTTTCTTGTTGTTTTATCTTTTTCTTTAAGGTGCCAACATGGTTCTTTAATTCGTCATAATTCGCTTGAGTAGTTTCAGGACGTTTTTCTAAAATAGTAATTGTGGCTTGGGCTTGTTGGACTTGTTTTTGAACCTTTTCGGCATTTTGAATCGCCTTAGTTTTACTGTCTTGTTGAATTTTTAATTCTCTCCTAACAGTGTCCAAGTCCTCAACTAATTTATTGGTTTTTTCTGCTTCTTTCTGAGTTTCGATTAGTTTACTTGTTAATTCATCGGCAATTTCTTTAGCAACCTTTAACTCTAGAGTTTTCTTTTCTAATTGGTTTTTTCAACCAAGAGGTAATTTGTTATTCAAAGGAATATTTAAATACTCTTTAATTCCATCTTTTAAAATTCTATACTTTTTCTTTTTTACTATCAGAAACTCTTGACCAATTTCTCCGAAAAAGTTCCGTTTTTTTAGTTTCTGAGCATCTCCTTCTGTTGGCGTGGTTTCCTTCAACTCATTTTCCTCCTCGTTTTCAAGTTGATTTTTTAGTTTACTATTTTCCGCCTCCAATTTCACTATTCTTGCTCTTAAAATATTGTTGTTTTCTTCTCTCGAATCCACTTCCATCTCGTCTACTTCCTCCTGCTGGTCCTCGACAACTACAAAAGGTTCAAAGGTAAATTTTAGTCCAGCAAGAGTTCCTTTTTCATTATTAATTAGTTCTGTTTTATACTTTTGCTGGGCTTGGGAAAGAAAACCAACTGTTTCGGCTTCTTGCTTGCTATCAAAGACACCTCTATTTACTTTTTCTGCTCCTTCCGGATTTTTAAATCACTCGTAATTTCTTGCATATTCAGTTATTTTCTCCGAAGTGACTTTCCTTAATATCTCAGCAATTTGGTTTTCTTGGAAATATTTCATCAAGGTTTTATTTTTGAATTCAAAGTCGTATTGGTCAGGATTTCTTTTTTCGAAAAATTTTTTTAACTCTCTTGATAAGGTTGCCGCGAGACAATTAATGCCCTCTTCTTTTGGCAGATTGACTATTTTAGGTTTGCTAACAAACTCTATAAGTTCTTTCAAGTCTTTTTCATTTTCTTCTGTGTCTGACTTCTTTGCACTACTTCCTAACTTAAGTAGTTTGAAGTAATTTTCTATCGTGTCATTAGCAAAATTGCCAGGTTTATTCAGCTCTCCTCTAAAACTACCGCGTTCATGTTTACCAACTAAGGAAATTCAAAATCCAGAATGGTTTTCATTACGACCAACTCGGAACCGTTCTTGCATTGCATCATTGAAATCACTGGTTCCCGTTATTTTTTTTGCTTGCAATTTGCTTGAATTGCTTGGGTCTAATGTTACCTTGATTCTTTTGGCTGCCCCAGTGGAAATAACATTAATATCGTCATAAGTAAATCCCGGGCCATAATCACTGCTAGCAAAAAAAAGAGTAGAAGGCGGAGCATTTTTTACCATATCGGCAGCAATATCTTGGTGAGCGTCATTCAATTCGAGGTATTTGATTCCATTCTTAGTCAAATGATTGAGTTCTAGCTTATCCATTTCATCACAAAAAATAATACTTTTTTTCTCGAATACTTTTGGGTTTTCTTCCAGAAATTTCTCAAAATCAACCACATAAAAGCTTTTTATTTCCCCATCAGTTGCTATGCCGGTAGGTATATTGGGCAAAGTAGCTGACATCGCTACCATTTCAAATCCTCTTTTTTTCCCCATATTTTTAAATCCCTCTATCATTTTATGATGACCAGGATGGTCAGAATGAGCCTCATCGAAAAATACTAAGGGTTTAATAATTTTCCGCCTCTTTTCATCCTTGTAAGCAGCCATAAATTCTCACCAAGTAAGAATATTTATCATTTTACTTTCCGCATTAAGTTTTGTTTCATAGTGTATATGACTTCCTCCACATAACTCACAAATGCTTACTCTTTTACTTGGATCATTGATTATATTTCCTTCGGCATCTTTTGTCGTATCTTCTCCTCTCGATAACCATTCATGAGAATCGAGTAGTGATTGCGCTAATTTTTTATCATTAGTCACTAAGGTTGCTCCTTGCTTTTTGGCGTTGTGAGCCGCACAGCGGCACATAAAAGTTGACTTGCCCAATCCCCCTGGTATAGATGATTGATAATAGCCATCTCTAGAAGGTGGGTTATTAGCACCTGGAAAATTACCTTTCCAATTTCCCTTAACGCCCATTCACTCTTTCAAATTTAATTTTCTATGTTCTACTGAAGAAAGGAATTTATATTTCTCAAAGCCTTTTTTTAATGAATTTTTCTTCTTACCGATTATGTTTTTAAATACTTCATTGAAGATTTCGCCGGTTATTTTATTAGGTTCATTTACTGATGATTTTGTATCACTGTTAAGTTGCAAATCAAAATCAAGCCCGGCTAGTTTTATATCATATTTTCCTTGCTCATTTCTAATATCACGTCCAGTAATTTCGCAAGAGTTATTTGTTTCTTCTACCGCTGTTGTTCCACTTTCACTAATTGTTTTGCTGCTGCCTTCACCATTTGATTTCTGGCTTACTTCATCAAAATCACTTGGATTATAATTTGGTCAATCATTTCCTTCTGTCTCTTGCTGAAAATGCATTGTCCCAAATGATTGGGAATTTTCCGCTTTGGCATTTTCTCCCAAATTCTCCGCAGGATTTTGGAAAACATTGAGGTCTGTTTTCACTAAAACTGGACTTGGCTGTCCCTCTGCTTTGTTTTCCTTACTATTTAACGATTGATTTTTATTGAAAGTAGAGTAATTTGGGAGAACCCGGTTGGCTGCTTTTTTACTTTTTATTTGCTTATTTGTCGTTATTTTACCTATCATATTTTTACCTTTGTTCAATTATACATTATATTTTATATTTTTTACACAAGCCAAAAAAAAGATAAAAAAACTCAATAATCACAAAATTATAATATATGGCGGCAAATAGAAAAGTAACTTTAACTGTTACTATTAGCAAGAAAAATTATGAAAAACTCAAAATGATAGTAGCATCCGGTAAAGTTAGTGAAGTTATTAATGAATTAATTGAGGAGTGATTAGAAAAAAAAGAAAAAGAGATTGCTGATGACTATCAGCAAGACATTGAGGATAAAGAACATGACAAACAAGTTAAAAGTTGGTATCTTATTAATCGTGGAAAAGTAGAAGCAAAAGAGAAAAATGAAAAAGAAATCTAATACAAAAAATAATTATCCTACTATAAGTAAAGGAGAAGTGTGATGATTTGACCCTCTAAAAGAGACCAAAGTTGGTGTTTCTCCCTTAGTGGTTGTTTTGAGTGGTGAAATACACAACAAATTTTCTAGTTATGTAGTTTTTAACGTGGCAGGTAGTCGAAATACTGAAAAAGTAAGGCAATTTTTTGAAGTCTTGTGTGAAGTGGAGGGTAAAAAAATAAGGATAATAACCAGCGCTATCCATATGTTTAACAAGGAAGTCTTTTTAAAAGAGGCTAAATATTTAGGTAAACTTAACAATGATGAAATAAAAGAAATCAATGAAAAAGTAAAGTTGATTTTGGAATTAGACAATTAAGTTACTAGTTTATTAAAAATCTAATTTATGTTTAATGAAAGGACCATTGTTGCTCTGGCTACGGCTCCCATTACTCAAAATATTGCCTTGATTCGCTTATCTGGCCCCCAAACTTATTCAATTATCACTCAGGTTTTTGACCGTTCTTTACCAAAATATCCCCAAAAAAAATCACAATTAATTTTTGGCAAGCTTGTTAACTCACAAAAGGAAACTATCGATGAAGTATTATTGCTTTGTTTTTACAAACCTAATTCTTTTACCGGCGAGGATGTGATAGAAATTAGTTGTCATGGTAATTTGTTTGTTGTCAACCAAATACTACAATTAATTCTGGAAAACGGCGCGGATCTAGCCAAGGAAGGTGAATTTACCAAACAAGCCTTTTTTAATGGCAAACTAAATTTAATTCAAGCTAACGCCATCAACGATTTAATTCGAGCTCCTAGTTTATCCGGTGTCAAATTGGCCCTGCATAATTTAAGTCATGAAAACCAAAAAGAATTAGAGTTTGTTGAAAATGAACTACTTGATATTATTGCTACTATTAAAGTCAATATTGATTATCCTGAATATGACGGAGTAGAATACTTAACTGGTAAAAAAGTACTTCCGCGCCTAAATAAACTGTTAGAGAGGTTATTAATAATAAAAAAAGAAAGCAAAAAAATCCGTGTTTACCAAGAAGGCTTAAAAGTAGCCATCATTGGTAAGCCAAATGTAGGAAAGTCTACTCTCTTGAATGCCTTGTTGCAGGAAGAAAAAGCTATTGTTTCACCCCTTGCTGGTACTACTCGTGACATAGTCGAAGCTCGTTACAATTTAAATGGCATTCCTTTGACTTTATTGGACACAGCTGGTATTCATGAAACCTCAGATATAGTAGAAAAAATCGGAGTAGAACGAAGTTGACAAGCCTTGGTAAAAGCCGAAATTATCTTTTTTTTAGTAGATAATTCCTGCCTGTGAAGTCAAACGGAAGAAAATATTTTTCAAAAAATCAAAAACAAGAATCATTTGGTTATCATTAACAAAATAGACAAAGAAAATAAATTACAACTTCCTAACGAAATTTCCCACAAAAAGATATTAAAAATTAGTGCTAAAAATAAGCAACTGAGCGAATTAGAAGCCAAAATTAGCGAACTATTTACCAGTAATTTAATAAATAATCTTTCTCCTTATCCCTATTTAAGTCAAAGTTGGCAGCAAGCCAAATTAACTAAACTTACTCAGCAGTTAGAAACAGTAATTAGCGAACTAAAAAAAGAAACTTATTTAGATGCTTTATGCGGTGATTTAGAAGTTAGTTATAAATTAGTCAAGGAATTGAGCGGCAAGGAATATAATGAGGATTTGTTGGATATCATTTTTAGTAAATTTTGTTTAGGAAAGTAGGAAAAAAATAATGAGGGAAGAAACAAGTTTATAAAATAAATAGTTTGGGAGGTGAAAGAAATAGTGTATTTAGTAATTATTTAACTTATTGGATAACAATTCCTTATTCATAATCAATTGGAATTATCGTTTTCAAATCAAAAATAAGGAGTTATTATAATAGGTTCCCTTCTTTTAACAATGCAATATCTTAAGTTTTAAGTACAAAAATAATCGAATTGATTTATTGATAGATTGTCCTAATAATTTACTAAGTAAATTAAACATCAGAGGTTGTCTAGAACTTGCTAAGTGGATATAGGAGGCGGTAAAACGCTAAATATATTATACTTTCGCTATCAAATTATTATTTGCTAGAGTTAAAATTATTTTAATAGAATGGATCCAAAAAAAATTAAGGATACGCTTTTGCTACCTCAAACTAGTTTTCCGCTGAAAAATACTAATCACTGAGAAACTGAAAAAAAAATTAGAGAATTGTGGGAAGAAAAGCAAATTTATCAGCAAGTATTAGAAAACAATAAAAATAAACCACCTTTTATTCTTCATTCTGGTCCACCTTATGCTAACGGCAAACTTCATATCGGACATTTTTTAAATTTCGTAATTAAAGACATTATTATCCGCTTTCAAGCTAGTCAAGGAAAATGTACTCCTTTTTTGCTAGGTTGGGATACCCATGGATTACCGATTGAGCACAAAGTGATTCAGACCTACCAAGGTGAAAAAATTAATTTGCACCAAGTCTGTCATGACTTTGCTTTAACCCAAGTTCAAATCCAAAAAGAGCAATTAAAAAAATTGGGATTATTTACTGACTATAAGCAATATTATATTACTCTTAACAAAGAATATGAAGCCGAGCAAATTCGAGTTTTTGGCGAAATGGTGAAAAAAAGCTTGATTTACCAAGGATTTCGACCAATTTATTGGTCTTGCGGACACGAAACTGCTTTGGCCGAAGCCGAAATAGAATATTACGAAAAAAAGGATACTTCTCTTTATTTTAAAATCAAGTTGTTCGGAAAATCTGATTTCTTGGGCCAAGAAAATATTAATCTTCTGATTTGAACCACCCAGCCGTGAACTATTCCGGCTAATCGTTTAGTGGCCGTCAAAAAATCGGCTTCTTATGCTTTGGTTAATTATAATAACGAATATTTACTAATTTTGGAAAGTAAAATCCCTCTTTTAGAAAAGTGAGGCGGAGGAAAAATAAAAGTAGAAAAGGTATTTTCAGGAGAAAAATTATTAGGACTAACTTATTTTCATCCTTATCAAAAGGACAGAAAGGGATATATTGTTGACGGAAGTGATTTTATTGAAGAAGGAGAAGGGTCAGGAATAGTCCATTTAGCACCTGCTTTTGGAGCAGAAGATTTTGCAGTATCCAAGAAAGAGAAATTAACAATTAAATGCCCGCTAGAACCAAATGGAATATTTAATGAAAAAATCGCGGTCTCAGAATTGATTGGCAAACATTATAGCGAAGTAAATAATTATGTCATTGCTGATTTAGAAAAAAGAAATTTAATAGCAAAACAAGAAGTAATTAGCCATAGTTATCCCCACGATTGACGTGATAAAAGTCCCTTAATTTATCGCTTAACTAAGCAATGATTTATTAAAGTAGAAGCCATAAAAAAAGAGTTATTAGAAAATATTGCCAAAGTAAAATGATATCCAGCTTGAACGGAAGAAAAAATGAAATCAATAATTTCTGCTCGCGAGGATTGATGTATTTCCCGCCAGAGGAAATGAGGAGTTCCTATTCCAGTTTTATATCAGAATAACGAACCAATGCTTAATTCAGAAATTGTTGATTATGTTGCCGAAATAGTTGCTAGTTGTGGTTCTGATTGCTGATTTGATGGCAGTATTTTGCCACTTTTGCGGGAGAAATTTCCTAATTTAATAGATAAAGAGACAGTTTTAGGACAAGATATTATGGACGTTTGGTTGGATAGTGGAGTTTCACATTGGTGTGTTTTGGGAAAGAGCAGAGAGTAACTTCTACAGTTAAGTAAAAAAATTGCTAATGACATTGGTAGAGTAACCAAATAGTTTTACGGGAAGCAAGAATGGACTCATAGAAAGTTTTATTTATTTTCTTTTTTTTAACTTTTCTCTCATTTCTTCCATTTCAGACAAATTTACTTCAGCATTCATAATTATTAGTTCTGTTTTTAACCTTAATTTTACTAACTCGTCAAGGGTTCGGCTATTCTTGCACTCTTCACATTTGCCTCCATTAAACAGGCAATTCATGCAAAAATCAAAATATTCAACCATTAATGGAATTTCCACTGTGCAATTGCATAGTTCACATTTTTTTCCTGTATTCATATTGAAATTTTATTAATTATTCTTTGTTCTTTTCTTATACAGTTTTTCCATAGATTTTTTTGTTTTCTTCTTCTTTCTCAATTCGTTATTCTTTATTAAAAAAGTTGACTCGTATGAATTCTTTGGTTTCCAGCGCTTTCTAAATTTGCATTTTTCGCCTCCATTTTTTTTACTTTTTTCTCCTCGACGATTGACTACGTAATTATAATAATTCTTATTTATGTTATATATAATTTTAACATCACTGCCCCTAACTTCGTTTATACTACCATCTTTTAATTTATTTTTATTTCTATTGCTAATTTTTTTCTGAGTTTTTTTCTTTTTGCCTCCAAAAAGAGAACAAGCTTTTTCTTTTATTCAACGCCATGCTTTCAAGCATCAAATAAGATTTTTATTTGTCATTTAGTTTTTTCTTTTATTTCCTCTCGGTAGAAGAGTTCGACAAGGAAATATCCTTATCCAGCACTAACTAATCGACAAGATTTTGCCAAAAAATTGAATCTTTCTTTGAAAAATAAGCCAATTATTTATCATTAGTTATTTTTTTTGCTTATTAAGTGTATATAATTAATTTTTTTATGTGATAAGCCCCGGACTTATTTTTAAAAAATTTAATAATAATGAACCAAGAAAAAGACCAATTAATCCAGTCTTTCCAAGCCAAAGTCCGTGAACTAGAACAAAAACTAGAAGAATACACTCAAGGCGGAATAAAAATCCTCTTTTCTGATTTGCTATCAATGATGCTTAACCAAGAATTCAAACCTTTATCTTCATAGCTTTAAACAGGCCAAACATTATAACAATGTAAAATTATATATTATGAAATCAATCGAATCCAAACAAACTTTAAGTATTACCATCCCCACTAGTCTCTATCAGAAATTACAGCAAGAAGTCGGAAAGGGAAAAATCAGTAAATTTATCAAAGAAACAGTAGAAGAAAAACTAATTGAAAAAGAGGATAAATTGGTTCAGGAATACCGCGAATGCTATGCTAATCCTCGTATGATAAAAGAAGCTAAACAGTGAGAAAAAGCCGAAATTAAAAGTTGGCTAAACTACGAAAAAAATAAGGATAAGCCAGCAACGGTTAAGTGAAGTAAAAAATTAGTGAATGGCAGAAAAGTTAATTAGACGAGGAGATATTTACTGAGTAGACTTACCGGATAGTAATGGACGAGAAATTAAGGATACTCACCCTGCTTTGGTAGTTTCAAACGATAGGCAAAATAACGCTAGCCCTTT